TAGACTTAATAGCGGACATGTTTTATGCAAAAAAGTTAGTAAATGAGAGATGTTGTGTTTGGGTATGAAACAATACGTAGACAAACCGACGAGGATTACAAAAAATAGTCAAACTTTGATAGATTTAGTTTTCGCAAATACTAAGGTAAGCTGTGTATATGATAAGCCAAGGATAACAGATCATTTATGGGTAAGCGTTGAGCTCAATAAGAGAGAAGTAATATTAAAGGAAAATATAGAGAATTTATTAGTAGAGATTACAATAAATTTCAGATAGATGAATTTTTATATGCAGTAGAGGAAGGATTAATAGTAGAGTTAATTTAGAGGTAAACGAAAGAGCAGAGAAATTTTTCAGAATATGGTAGCGGCGTTAGATAGGATAGCACCAATGAAAAAGTTGTTGTTGAAATTGAAAAGTTTAAAATTCCTAAGATGGGAAGGGAAAAAATGGTATACGGATGAAATAAGATTAGATGCAAATACAAGGGACGAAGCATATGCAAGAGCGGTACATACGGGCAAAGAACAAGATTGGTTACAGTTTAAAGCTGCGAGAAATACGGTAGTCAAAACAATTAGAAAGAAAAAGAAGAATTTTATGAGAACATGATAGATAATAATAAAAATGATCCTGTACTAATGTGGAAAACTTTAAAGGAAGTCATAAGAGGAGAGGCTACGGGTTCAAAAGAAATTAATAATGTAGATTTTGGAATATTAGAAAATGTAGAAGAATGTACTTTAGCGAATAAATTTAATATATTTTATATACAGAGCATTAATGACATAATAGAATCTATAGGAAAAAATTATAGTAAAAGTTCAAAAACTATTTATATTATAAAAAAGGTATAAAAAAGGTAAAGAGGTATAATTGAAAATTTTGAAGCGATAAATTTGCAGAAATTAAAAACAAATTGTTATGGCCTTGCCACGGAAGCAAGGAACAGATGAGGGAATATCTAGTGATATATTAAAAATGAGCTTTCATGTGATAAAGAATGAACTATTGAAGGTTATAAATGATTCATTAATAAAAGGGGCATATTCGGAGGGATGGAAAACATCTACTATAATACCGATTCCTAAGATAGAAAAACCAAAGAAAGCAAGAAAGTGAATATAGACCAATTAATATATTACCTATTTATGAGAAAATTCTAAAATTAGTCGTAAAGGAACAAATAGATGAATACTTACATAGTAATGATATTATATCTGAACATCAATCGGGATTTAGAAAACACCATTCGTGTGAAACGGCGATACAAAGCGTCATTGACGATTGGAAGCTAATAATTAATGAAGGGAAAATGGTAGGAGTAATATTCCTGGATTTAAAACGAGCATTCGAAACGGTGAATAGGACAAGATTGCTAGAAAAATTAGATCAATATGGAATGAAAGGAAGGGTACTAGAATGGTTTAGAACATATCTAAGCAACAGAACACAACAAGTTAAATTTAACATCAATGGTCAGAATGTCTTAAAACGGAATATGGTGTCCCACAAGGATCGGTACTAGGGCCTTTGCTATTTACAATATATATAAACGATATAATAGAATCTTGTCCGGATGAGTGCAATATAAAATGTTTGCGGATGATACATTAGTAAGCGGGGAAGGTAGTGAGGAACTAGAGAGGAAAATGAACATGGTATTTAACATAGTAGAAGTATGGATGAGTGTTAATAAATTGAAAATGAATGCGGGTAAAACAAAATACATGATAGTCAGAAGTATAAGAAAGGAACAGAGAGGTAATATTACGTTAAGATGCTCCGATGGAATTGAATTAGAACGCGTTGAAAAAATCAAATACCTTGGTGTAATTATCGATGATAAACTACAATTTAAGGACCACTGCGATTATATGCTTAAGAAAATAGGGAAAATGACTAGTTTTTTAAATAGAATAGGTAACTTCGTATCAGCGTACACTAGATGTATTGTATATAAGTCCATCATAGCACCTCATTTCGAATACTGTGCTACTCTATTAATCGGGATGGGAGGAACGCAAGTGAATAAATTTCAGGTAGCTCAAAACCGTGCCATGAGAGTCATTTTGCAATGCAATAGATGTACCAAAGTTGAGCATATGCTGCAGGCGTTGCAGTTTATGTCCGTAAGGCAACGATTGTATTATAACGTGGGTGTATTTATTTTTAAATCTTAAATAACATGGCATCGGTGGCGTTAAGTAACAAAATAGAAATAGTGGGAAGGGAATGTGATAGACAAACGAGACAGGCCGGAGACATAGTATTAACATTTCGTCGAACTAGAAGTGCGCAAAAAGTCTGTTCTACGAAGGAATAAAAATGTATAATTCTTTACCCACCGAGATAAAGCAATGTGAAATATTAGTATCGTTTAAGAGACTGTTAAAAGAATATGTATTTAACAATGTATAGTAATTATGTATAGGAAAAAATAGCTGAGAAAGCTAATAAAAAATCTCTCTCTCTCTCTCTCTCTCTCGCTCTACGCAAAGTTCTATGGAAAAAAAAATTGCTGCGTTCTTATCCTGATATTGCTGAAATATTTGTCCTGATAAGGCCGAAAAAGCAATTGATCGTCAATGATAACCTCGAAAGATGTTAATAAACAAGGTAAAATCATGATAAGATTATATGTATATATGTTTTCGCGCAAAGAATAAGTAATATAAAAAAAAATTGGCCTCTCTATATGCAAAGAAATTTTACTCGAGTTTAAAAACTATATATAATTTGTGTAGAGAATAGCTGTTATACAATTATTTTTGCAAATAATTGTTTCCGGAAGTCGGAAGAATATTTTGTTTCTTTCTATTTTTTAAATAAAAATTTTCTTTAAAAAGAAAAATTTTCTTTTTGTCCGCTATTAAGTCTATATTAAAGTTACCTAACATAATGCATGACCTTTGGCTACTAAGAGGAATCCACTACATCCTTTATAAAATCTTAAGAAATCGCCGTCTGACGCATCGGTGAATGTACACTACTATAATTATGCCTTTATATATACTATCTCTTATTTCGACTGCTACACACCAACAATTTGATACTATCTTTTCCTTTATTATTACATCATATTTGATATCATTTCTTATATAAATCATCACGCCTCCCGTGTTTCTATTTTCCCCATCGCATCTAACTAAACTATATCCCGGTGCATTCACTTCACTGTCTTCAATTTCCACAATGAATCTAGTCTCCGATAACGCCATGACTGCAAGATTCATCCTCTTCATATAGTCTTGAATTTCATCTTTATGCGCCATTACACTCTGCGAATTCGTGTATACAATTGATTCCTTCCATGATTGCTACTTATTAGACTCCCAGCCAGCTCTCTTTTCTCCCCCTCCAATGCTCTGATGAAAAGTCGGACATTTTCTACTTAACGCATCATGTTCGTCATTTATCTTCAAGTTGTACGTTTTAATCTTGTGCATACAATTAACACATCTCATCTTTGTTGCCTTACAATCACTTACTTTGTGATTTTCAGCACATTTATGACATGTTTCTTCTCGCTTACAATTTTTAGCAATATGGTAGTACCTTCAGCATTTAAAAAGAAAAATTTTCTTTTTAAAGAAAATTTTTATTTAAAAATAGAAGAAACAAAATATTCTTCCAACTTCCGGAAACAATTATTTGCAAAAATAATTGTATAACAGCTATTCTCTACACAAATTATATATAGTTTTTAAACTCGAGTAAATTTTCTTTTAAAGAAAATTTTTATTATGAAATATAAAAATCCTTAATATGAGAAATCTTGGTAATTATGTACTTCACGGACGACTTCACCGATTTCAATGATCTCTACATATGTTGTCAAGCTCACTCTCCTCAGTAAGTCAAAAGGTTTTAAGTGTCGCTATTTATTAAAAAGTTATTAACGAAAAAAGTTTAATGAATATAATATAGTTTTGCGACAGCATGTACATTCAAGAAGTTATATTTCATGGAATATATGTTAAATATATATATCAGAAGATCATCATTAAATGTAAAGTAAATTTTGTTTTGTGTTTGCAAAGTACATGCTTGAAGACAGTGTATTCTTTGTATTTTAAAATTACAGTTTAGTTTAAATCAAAATAGGTTTGGATTAAGTTATATCTTCCTGAAATGGAACCGCTCCAAAAGGGAATGTAGCCACGCATATACTTTACATGGTAAAACGAGAAGTTCACATGGATTTGCAACTTTTCACGCGAAGCAAGGTTTATCTCAAACCAAATTTGCTACGATTTGACCGTTGCTACGGTCGTCAATATTTCAAACAATTTCATCGAAATTAATAAATCACGAGACACAAAACACAAAATATAAAAGAAAAATTTAATTTAGTCTAATATTTATCACATGCACGCCTTTATTATGCTTGTTCAGCGAAAATATTGTAAATTCTATAAAATATTATATATTTTTCATGTGATTCAAGGTTCTAATGCACGCGTGCGTGCGTGCGTGCGTGTGTATGTGTGTGTGTGTGTGTGTGTGTGTGTGTGTGTGTGTGTGTGTTAGCTCGACGTATACTTAAACCGACAAAAAAAAATTTGTTTTTCACGAGACTCTGTATCTCTCAGAGTTGAATTTGAGAGAAGCGATTAAAGTCGCCGAATCCGTAGACGAGCATAAGCTCTTTGGAGACATTTTTTTTTGGCAAAATAAGTTATATAGACATTGGCGCATTGTCACTTTCATTTCATTAAAATACTTGTTTTTATTTACATTTATGGATATCTGGGGCCGGAAAACGATGTCAAACACGTATACATTTACGAAAAGATTATATAATATATAGAAAGTGATGACTTTCTTAAAGTAAATTACATGTATATATATATATATATATATATATATATATATATGTAGCGCGCGCGCGGAAGCAATAAAAAAAAAGAATAAATGATTAAAATCACTGCCCTGCGTGTGTTTTGTGTTGTGTGTGTTTTTGTGTTTTATGTTGTTATGTGTGTGATCATCTGCCTATCCATAGTTATCTGGACAATGATAGAGCCAGTAGGAGAAGGGATAGCTCGATAATTTCAACATAGGGATCCCATTGGGGATGCCACTGTTTGTTGGAGGCGGAAAAGATGTTTTACGTGTTATATACGTAGAAAGGGAGAAAGGGAGGAGAGTGAGAGAGAGAGAGAGAAATCTTTATTAGCTTTCTCAGCTATTTGTAGTATACAATTTTGGATTACATTAAATAATATATATTCCTTTAACATTCGCTTAAACGGTTCGATCCTTTCACAATTCATTTCGATTGGTAAATCATTATATAATTTCACTTCTTCATAAAACATACATTCTTTTGTACACCTCTTGTTCTGCGAAATTGTATTGCAATATCGCGTTTGTCTTTCACTTACATTTCCTACTATTTCTAGTCTATTTCGTAGCTGCTCTATCAGCAAATTTCTTACAATCTTAAAAATAAATAAACATATATTATAATATAGCCTCTGTCTTACGGACATGAACTGCAATGTTTGCAGCATATGTTTTACTTTGGTATACCACATACTATGTACACAGAAAAAAAGAACATTCTTGTTTTGAAAATATATTTAGTTTTAACGTGGAAATCTTGAAATGAGATTTTATTGCGTTAATTAAAGAAAAATAGAATTGCTTGAATAATTGCTTATTTGAATAAAACCGTTTTATATAGCTCAGTCAAGAAAAATATATTCTTATAATTTAAGATTTAATTTTTTTGAATGGAAAAGAAACAATGTTAGATAGAAAATAACATTTTTAAATCAAAGATTATAATTTTCTTAAAATATTGTAGAATTAAATAATTATATATTCTTGAGGTGACAATTATAATATTAACCCTTTATATCCTGATGATACTTGAAAGTACCGCTTTAATCAAACGCTTATATCTTCGTAATATGACTGCTTTTCCTGATGGTACTCACAAGAACACGAAGAGTGGTTTCGACAGCAGGCAGTAAATGACAGCTGAAGGCAGAAATCCTTTTTCTTTGTGCTGTGGGCATTTTATCTTTGCCGTGCAGTTTTTTTTGGAAGCCATTTTTTTTCCTAGGATTATTATGCATCAAAAATTATCTAATGATGCAAAAATACAATTAAAAAGTTGCTGGAAAATTAATTCAGGATATAAAGAGTTAAAATAAGATTGTAAAATTGTTGAAATTTAAAATTATTAAATTCATAAAATTATTAAATTATAAATAAAAAATATTAATAAATAAAAAAATATAGTTATTTTTATGAAGGTCCTTTTAAAAAATTGGTTTTGCTGTGACCACTGCTGCTCGGATCTGGATCATTTGAAATAAAAAATTCAAAAAAGATTTCTTTAATATATTAAATTATTTAGTCTTTGAACGAAGGAAAATTCAAATATTGATTTGGAACAAAATGCTGGATGTTCAAAGTTAAAGTGTCGATTTTCGCAGAAAATTTCGCTTGTTTTTCGTGAATAAAAAAAACTATGCATCGTAATAAAAAACCCTTCGTTCAAAGATTAGTTTT